ATAGAACCGTTTTCCCCCCGAAGGGAAGAAAACGTATATTTTAGGTCTTGCCGAGGCTTGACCCGAGTAAGGCCTTGCCGCCAACGGGAGCATGAGGAATGGCTTTTACCTATTCCTCATGTTTCGGAGATAATACTGATCTGTGAATGACGCCATCCGTCACTAGCCGCACTTGAAACTCGGATCCAGGTTCCCCTATTCCCTCACAGATGGAGCCATTTTCTGACACTTTGGGCATTTTGCATGGTTAGGATACGCAAGGTAATCTCCGAAGGGTCAAGCCTCGGCAAGACCTAAAATATACGTTTTCTTCCCTTCGGGGGGAAAACGGTTCTATATATTTCTTAAGAAAATGATAGGCTCTAACGGCATAATCTTTGATAGAATTGGTAAAAAAAAAAAAGAAATTGAATTTTTTAATGGAATTCCAGTAGAAATTCGGTAGAATTTATTGAAGAAAGCACTAGTTTTTTCTATTAAATTTTTTAATACGCTTTGAGTGGTTTTTTGAGTGGAGTCATGGGATGAATTTAAAGAGTTCTGATTTTTTAATTATTGTAAGCTTTTAAGGATGTTTGTCTGTTGATGCACAGATGTTTTTCGAACGTCCACTGATATTTCTCGAGTAAAATAGTTTTATTGAAGAACAATGAACTTTGTGATGCATTTAAAAATTAATTAGAAATATTAAAAATTTTTTTTTTGGGAGAAAACTTCATTTCTTCGTGAGAAATGGCGATAAAAATTATATGAAATGAAAGGACATGTGTTCTCGTAGAAAATGCAGAACAGATCAATTTTTAGAATTCTTTAATGTAAATTTTGCAAGAACACGCGTCATTTTGTTTTGAATTTTTCTAAAAGCGTTTTTTAAAAAGTTTGAAATTCCAGGTGTTTATCTGTCCATTCTCAGCTATTTTTCCAGCATGCATGGATATTCTCTGATTATAATAATTTATTGAATTACAGAATTGAAAAAACGAATTAGAAAAAATTTAATTTCCTTTTGTTCCGAAAAATCGTAATTTCTTTCTGAGAAATATCGATAGAATACGCACGAAACAAAATGATGTGTTCTCAGGAAAAATATAGAAGAGATCAATTTTGAGATTATTTTCCTGTATTTTTTATAACAACACCTGCAATCTTGCTTCAAATTTTTGTAAAAAATTTTGTTCACTGAGTTTAAAACTTTCAATTATTTATTCCTAGCATGAAGTCCGTGCAATCTCTATTTATTTATATTTTATCTCATCGACAATCATGTAAAAAACAGTGATAAAAATCCCACGAAATACAAACGACATGTGTTCCCCTAAAAAAGAAGAAACCATAAATTTTTACATTTTTTCCTGTATTTTTTATGCGAACACATGTCATTTTGTTTCTAACTTCTGTCAAAGAGCCTTTTAAAGAGTTTAAAACTTCAAGTTATTTTTTCTAGCATGAAATCTAAACGAGTCATCTTTATTTATAGTTTGTCTCAACTTTCGATGGACAAACATCCTTAACATCTTAAATATTGGGGAATACGTCAATATTTTTCATCTGAAAGTTCATTTAGCTCGAAAAACATCTCGTGACTGTGAATTCTACTTGTATTCCACGTTTCACCGCTTCACTGACGAATTATTCAATGATAAGAGGTAAGGAGATGGATCTAATCTGACTGTTATTTATTATCATTGCTAGATGCATCTCGAGAGACTGGAGATATTGCAGTCAAGATTTATTGGAATAGACCCCAGACTCTTGAGACTCTCAAGAACGGAATTGATAGAGTCACTTCATCATTTAATTTCGTTGCTTTTAATCGATGTCTTTGGACTGTGACTATTTTTGTCTGGTACTTTTAGGGGTAATTTATTCTTGTAATGAAGGGAGGGGGGAAGGTGGATGTGCATGATACCATTTTCCGTGATTTTTAATATTTATGGAGTTCAGGGGTGCAGGGGTCAGTGGAAAGTCGATGAAAGTCCAGTATCGAAGTGGTGAAATATGTTTCCTGGAGAATATTCAATGAATATCTATGATTTTGAGATATTTCATTTAGTTTTACCACTCCGATGCTGGATGAAGTGCCAAACATTACAAATAACATGTCTTCAGTTGTGTTGGAATAAATAATTTTTCACTTGATCAGGACTTATAGCACTCAACTCATTCCTTCACAGCACGAATGAAGAAATTTTTAAAAAACGAGCGCTTTCTCTGGGTAATTCTGTTGAATTTCTATTGAAACTCTTAGAATTCAGTTTAGGTTTCACGGACGAAAAAATTTAATAGAAAAACCTATCGAATTCGTTAGAAAATTCTATTGAATTTCTATTGAGTTCTATTCGTTTTTGGCCGATTCTATTGAAATGTTCAATAGAAAATATTCAGTCGAAAAAGTCAATAGAATTCAATTTGTCTATATAACTTATTCTATTGAGATATTTTCTGTAGAATTTCCTCGGCTCAAATTTTCCAAGTTTTTTCGTTTGATTTTCTTGATGAGAAGAAAAGAAAAATAGAATGAAAAAAACTTAGAAAATTTCAGTCGAGCAAATTCTATAGAAAATACAATAGAAAAATCGAATTCTGTTGACTTTTTCTATTGAATGTTTTCTATTGAACATGTCAATAGAATCAGCCAAAAACCAATAGAAAGTTTAATAGAAATTCAATAGAATTTTCTAACGAATTCGATAGGTTTTTCTATTAAATTTTTTCGTGCGTGTTAGGCTGCAGCTGAGTTTTTGAGGATTATTTCCCAACCGAAGGGAGATAACGAAATTTTCGAAAAGATCTTTTTTGGGGATCGAACTGAGGGCTACAAAAAAGATCTTGACAAAAATTTTGCTATCTCCCTTAGATTCTGAGATGTTCTTTGAAAACGGGACAATAGTCAAAATCGACTTGAACCGTTTTACCGCTTTGCTACTGAATTATATTCGATGATTCAGTTTGTTTTTCACGCGTGTTTTCAAATAGATATTTGTTTATAGAATAATATCTGTAGATGTTGATTTTTCTCTGTAACTTATTCTCTTGGGGTTTTTTCTGCAAGAATACTTGAGCGCGATTTTTTAATTTTTTTTTTCTTGGATTTTATGCGAAACAAATAAAAATACAACGAAAAACTTGGAAAATTTACGCCCAAGAGTTTTTGTAGAAAAATTTATTGACTTTTTACTATCAAATGTCTGTTGACAAAATGATACGTTAAAGCTCCATAATTTTCTGTAGAAATGGCGCAAAAACTAATTGAATTTTTTAATGGAATTCTAATGAAACTTCAAGCGAACTCTTATAGTGTTCCAACAGAAATTTAACAGAATTTCTTGGAGGAAGCTCTGGGTTTTTCAATTAAGTTTTTTCATCCGCGAGGTTTGCGAGATAATTTTTTAAAAATCGTTTCAACACTTTCGTGATGGGAAATTCCCTCCCTCTTTCTTGTGCAATTCAACTTCCCACTTCCCCCAGTCGTGTAATTAGCGAAAATGAATTTGCCAAAATCGAATAATCCAGTACGGTGAATTGCTACTCTGTGCGTAGCCGAATAATTACAGGTACGACAAAATTTCTAACGACATTTTTCTGTTAAAAATTCTATTGGACTTTCTGTCAGTTTCTGGCAGATTGAAAACTTTTTCAGTAAAGAATGTTCGATAGAAAATATTCTATAGAAAAAGTCAGTAGATTTTGAATCTTCTGTAAAAGTTGTTCTGCTGAGATATTTTCTATCGAAATTCTTCAGCTCAAATTTTCAATTTTTTCTGATTCTTTTAATGAGACAAAAATGGAGTGAAAAAATTTCGGCAATTGATGTCGCAGAATTATAAAGAAAATGTCTCAATAGAAAAAATTCTATAGAAACAAGAAATTCTACTGTTTTTTTTACAAAATAATTTTTACTGGACATTTTCTATTGTGAAAAATACGAAGTAAAACCCCAATTGAATCGGTCAGAAAAAAATAGAATTTTCAATAAAATTTTAAGAGAACTTTTTAACGAATTCACTAGGTTTTTCTATGAAATTTTATCGTGCGTGTACATTCATATTTTAAATAAATTGTACAGCATCGTGCCATAATACTAGCTTCCGACTATCGAATCGCGTCAATCTATCACGAGTTTTTATGTCAAACGATACAATGTCATTTACAGCATCACTTATGAATTAATGTTGACGATTAGCACAGTAATTTATCAACGTTTCACTCACTGTGAAGCATGAAAGCAGCAATTTAATCGACGTGAGAGTAATCCAATCAGGTGAAAGACGTAAATGTTGAATTTTTATAAAGTATTTAAAGTTTTTTGGATTTCTTTGCTCTCGTCATTTTTTACAAATACTACAACGGTCCACTCAGTGGCAACTGCCGTAAAAATTAAGGAAGAAAGTTTATATTGATGTAGAGGTATATAGAATATTCATATTGTAACGATTTTAAGAAATTTATACTCACTGATAATTAATCAGGAAATTTAAATAAATGAATTTAAAGCAATAAACTTTCGAATTTTCGTCAAAGAAATTCCATTTTCTTACTAATTTTCATTGATTTTATTGTTACTAGCCACATGATCCCCATATGACCTCCATCATCCTTATTCTGACCCTTAATGTGACCCTCGTGACGCTGGTATGTAGTCATCTGCCATTTTTATGTGATAAAAGTGTGATTAAAAAATTCTCCAAAATATTACAACTTTTTTCAAAGAGCCTTATCCGCAATAAATGTCTCTGTGCAGTGTGGGAAAAGATTTACGAAATCAATCTGCCCCCTGCATGATATTGGGTGACAGGCCGCCATTTGTCACCGTAAATCAGATACATTTTTCAATTTCTTGTTATTCAACTTATTCTGAATATAAATTAAAAATGCTCTTTGAAAAAATTAAGAATTTCTTCTACTTTTTTTTTTGATTATTCATTCATAATTTTTCAATACTTCTGCATGATGCAGGACATACTTGACAATTTCAAATGACGAAAGATGAAAAAAAACATCGAGATAACGTTCGAAAGGTAGTACACCCGGGCCTCAATTTTGAAAAAAAACTTCTAGTGTTCATTTTCTCTTGTCAACTCTCCACCAATAGCTCCAGGAACCCATTAGTCTACAGAAATAAAAAATCACAAGTTGGACTTAGCAAGCAATCTTATTTATTTTGGTACTCCATAGTGTTTCAGTAATGTGTATCATACAATCTTGAGCCAGTTTGCGAAACTGTAGTAATATTCAGTAATAATGACAGTAGTAATAATAATTCATCCTAAATAACCTAAGGCAGTATGCTATTAGGGTGATACAATGTTTTATTCATTTATAGTACGCGCAAGTAAGGATCTACTAAATCTACCTAGAGGATGGCCCATACACGTTCACAATTTTCATTCCCTTGCACTCGATCTCCACCTTTAATTTCACTAAACCTTCTCAATTCTTCTGCTGAACTTTCAGAAACAACAGAGACCACAGACATCCTCATAAAAACCCGATAAGTATAAGCACTCATGGTTCAGACAGAAAATTCTCCCAAGAAAAATTTCTAAAACGTGTCAGAGGTCTGACCTTTATTCATTTCATCTACTTTCTCCCCTTAACAGCAATAAAAAAATTGTCTCGAGGGGGCGACCCACGTGAGCCACACCCCAAAAAACCCCATACGAAATAACACTTCCAATAATAGAAAAAGAACCAAAATAACTGAAGTCATAACTCCAATCAAGGGGAGATCTCACTGAAATTTCGAAATCGCTGGTGCATTCGTCTGTTCTATTGATGAGTTCATCACTTTAGTTTAAATGTGGAAAAAATTTTAAAAACAGTTTTTCATTTATTTTTAATTAGAAAGAGACTTGACTCAATTTTGGTTCACACATCCGCAATTTGTACACAAACATAACTAAACGATTTTTTTTTTAATTTCAATGTTTTGAATCTGTAGAATTTTTTTTCTAAAATTTTTTTTTTATTTAAAAAATTAGTAATAATTACATTATAAATCATTGAAGTAAATTTTTTTCAGACTTTTCGTGTCATTTATTCAGAATATAATGAGAAAAAATGATGAAAAAATTCATACTCCAATGACTTTTCACCTCTAGTAATGTCGAGAAAAAATGGCAAAAACCTAAAAAACGATTTTCAAAAAACCAAATTCATCGACTTAAAATTTTGATACCTTTGTTTATAACTAATGATACAGAAATCTTGAGTCGATAACAATCATTCCACTTTGCCCCATCTTTCCCTACATTTACGAATATATTCTGTATGTGTGAATCAGTTGAGAATAGCGTCGACACTTCAAGATTCAATCAATGAAAAAATGAAAACAATTTTTTCTCATTTTTTACATTAAAAGAGAAGTACCTCATCACCACAATAAACAAAGACCCCTGCAATCAAAAAAATTCAGTGCAGTCTCCCCTCAAATCATCAACAATCGACGAATTAATACAAATACCAATAACTCAAATGTATCTAATTTCTTTACACTTCAAAAACCTAGATTAAATCGTCCAATTACATCGAACCGTCCCCCAACAAATTTAATTGAATTATCGTGAATTATTTAATAATCGTAATGGGGGACATGGACACTAAATAATATCCATTAAATTGCTCGTTTACAAACGGCGACGATTCCCTCATTAATTGATTACAGAATATTTTCTAAAACGCCAGTTGGCCCTTGCATTTTTAATTAAGCAAGTTGAATAAATCATTGCACTGATTACACAGTCATTAAGATGCAGTTCCCAGAGGTCACATGTCACTTACAAAATCAACAATGTACTGATGAAGATTAAACAATTATTCTTAATTAAAATAAAACACCACCTTAAATTTATTGTCAACTATATTGGGATGGAGATACATGAGCGAATCGATAAGTTCGAAGCAGGTGGATTTCAAAATTTTTTCCTTGTTTGTTTTTTTTTTCATTTTTTTTTTAATTTTTCATTTTTTAAATTGGGTGGAACTACCGTAGCAGCGAGAGCCGCTCGATGATGGATAATTTTCAAGCTACCACTGGACCAGTCGTGGCTTCGGTCTCATTCTGGGGCTCCTTTGCGTTAGCACTGCTCGATGAGGCTGTTGTGTTGGGGTCGTGGGCTCCTGCGGGCGTTGGAGTCACAGCTGCCCACTGGGTTGTGTAGGGCGCTGCTCGGGCTTGTCTTCTGGCTTTTCTCTTTGCACGACGTTGCTCCATCACCAGACGGAGACGACGCATCTTTCCTTTTGTTGCTTCGTTCTCCTTCGAGAGCTCTTCTGGAAGGTTTTTAGGAGTTTGAGACAAGATTGACTTTTTCATTTAAAAATAAATGGGATGAAATATTTTTCTGCAAGAATAATATTTCAGACTCTTGAATTGTCTTTTAAAATTAAAAATTGTGGAAATAATTTGAAATCAGACAAGTTTTTTTTCCTCCTTCGAGAGCTCTTCTGGAAGGTTTTCAGGAGTTTGAGACAAGATTGATTTTTTTCTTTAAAAATAAATGGGACGAAATATTTTTCTGCAAGATTAATATTTCGTCCTCTTGCATTGTCTTTTGAAAATAAAAATTGTGGAAATAATTTGAAATCAGACGAGTTTTTTCTCCCCCTTTGAAAGTATTTTTTAATGGCTGAGATTGAAATTTGATTTATTCAAATCGTTCCATTTGTTAAAGGAGATATTAGCGATTTAATAAGATACGTTTCAAGACGATTTCAAGAGTTTGAGGCAGGGTTGATATTTTTGTTGATATATTCGTAGTGAGGGGTGATAAATAAATGAGATGAAACGTTTGTTCGCCAGAACAATGCCTCTTGAATAACCTTTTAAAATAAAAAAATTCTAGAAATAATTCTAAATTCAACAATTTTTTCCATTTCGAACATATTTTTTGAGGCTTTGAAACGAAATTTAATTAATTAAAATTGCATCATTTGTTCGCTTGAAATTGTTTTGAATAAATTGATGAACGATAAATTCCGACGGAGAATAATTCAGTAGCGAAATGGTAAAACGATTTAAGTCGATTTTGACTATTGGCCAGTTTTCAGTGAATATCTCCGAATCTAAGGAAGATAGCTAAATTTTTGTCAAAACCTTTTTTGTAGCACTCAATTTGCTCTAGAAAAAAGGTCATTACGAAAATTTCGTTTCCTCCTTTGGATTCGGAGATATTCTTCAAAAACTCAACTAAGAGATAAGTCGACTTAAACCGCTGTACCACTTCGCTACTGAATTCAAGGAGAGAATGTCAAGACATTTGTTTCCTCAAAAATTGATTGAGATGAAGGCAAAATCATTAAAGATGTGAGATTAAAAAAAAAAATGGAAATGGAAGGAAAAACCACAAACCCATGGAATAAGTGGGGGTATTCTCGGGAGGACTCTCAACATTTTGGCCTCCAGACCCCGTGGATCCACCAGGCAACTGCTGACGACCACTGGAATGTCTGTGATGATGTGATGATCTGTAGTAACCAACACTCGTGACCCCTGATGCCGGTGTTGCGCAGAGTAAGTCGTTCAGAATGTGGATAATTGTGCTTATGTCGCGCTTTGGGCGCCCATTGCGATCCTGGAGGGCTGGGTTCAGAGTACCACTGAAGGTCCCCGAATAAACCCCCTTTCCATGGTGATGCATGCTCTCGATGATTGCACCTTGTCTGCGTCGTGCGTGTTCCTGAAGAGAGTGAAAAATAGGTAAAGATAAATTGCTGAATTACTTTATGAATGTGAGAAGAACTCTCGATGAAGATGCACGTGAGACTTATTCCCATGTTGACGAGACATTTTTTTAAACTAAACTGTGAATAAGCAAGTTTGATAGTGACGACATTCTTGTTGATTATGCATTTGCCTGAGAAAACGAGTGGCAGAAGACGTTCTCATAGAATTTGGCGTTACACGGAAAAAAAACCTGAATTGAGTATATTTTATTCTCAATTGGGGGATGGGTATTTCAATTCGAAGATGATTCCTTTGTATCAGGCCGGGATGTAGCAAGCCCTATTAAGTGTAATATAAGGGTCAAAAAGTGGAGGTTAAAAAATGAGGGCCAGACTATTAGGGTCAAAACATTAGGGTTAGAATATAAAAGTAAAAAAAGTGGGTGTCAGGCAATGAGGGTCTAAATATAAGTCATATATTATGTTTGATCACCGTTTTTAGCCCTCATATGACCCTCATTGCCTGACACCCAATTTTTTTACTTTTATATTCTGACCCTAATTTTTTTATCCTAACATTCTGACCCTCATTCCTTCACCTTTACATTCAGGCCCTCAGTTTTTGACTCCAATATTCCGACCCTCATTTTTTAACCTCCACTTTTTGACCCTTATATTCTCACACTTAGTCTGACCCTTATATTACACTTGAGAGGGCTTTGTACAACACGGGCTGTTACGAAATAATCATCCTCGAATTGAAACACCCATTCCCCATTCGAGTATAAAATATACTTCAATCAATTTTTTTTTCGTGTAGTAAAATAATACTATAATTAACAAAATAAAAAAAAAAGATTTAATCTGCTATGTTATGTGATCCATTAATCGAAGTCATTTGAAGAAAAATATCAATTTTACAGAATGTTTCTCCACATCTTATTCGAAACTTTCTCGTAATTTCCCAATAAATCTCATCAGTTCCCAATATTTTCCATCAAAAACATAAACCTGTTTTTATCTATAATTTAGTAGTGACGCAGTCAAACGTCAGGTTTGATATTTTCGTTGATTGTGCATTTATCTAAAAAACTAGTGACTCAAAGCTGTTTCATAAAATCTTTCGTTATTGAAATAATTTTACGATCAACGTAATATGAAAAATTGACAAATTGATAATCAACGCGATGAAAAAAATTGACTTGGTCTACTCCATTTACCAATAAATTGAAATCATTTAGAGAAAAATATGAAAAGAACAGAACTTTGTTCATCAGCATCTAAACTCCCTCATAATCCCCCACCAACTCCCATCATCTCCCAAATTTTCCCTCAAAAACATGAACCATTTTCATCGACAGCATCTCAAACCCACTTGCAACATCATAATTTACTAATGCCGTAAAATGTCAAGTTCGAAATTTTTATAATTATGCAATTAAGCATAAAACTCCTCATTAAAACGATTTTATTAATCACTTGAATTTATAAAAAAAAGAAGATCCCAAAAGATTTCCATTCATGCCAACGTTTCGGACACACAATGTGTCCTTCATCACGGCAATAATTTATTCCTACTAATCCATTAGTTGTTCGTGGATTCTGACAGAATATCCATACCAACAAAGAAAAAAAAAAGAAAACCTAGAGGCGACAACAGCCTATCAGTGCCCTCAATAACCTACACTGAGAGAAATTTCAATGGTAATTTCAACTCCAAGGGAATTCTCCAAAAACTAATAGTCACGGTAACAATAAACATTGTAGATTCAACAATAACATTAAAGTGAAAATGACATAATAATGTTGATGACACTATTTGACACAATAAATCGAACGATGAATCCTAGTTTAATCAACAAAGTTAACTGTTACTGTAAATATAATTTCTTTGACAATCCCCTTGTAGTTAAAATTACCACAAGTAATACCACGAGAGCTTCAAAATTATCGAGCAATTCCCGACAGGTTCGTTGCAAAGAAACGAAGGAGCCAAGTTTTTCAGGTTAAAAAATCAAGAGTGCGAAGCACGAGTGATTTTTCCTAAAAAACTTGACGACTTCGTTTGTGTGCAGGGAACCTTGAGGGAATTACTCGATTAATTTTGAAGCTCGAGTAGTATTCGGGAGGGAATTTTCCCATCCAAATGTCGGCCAAAAGAATTGCACTATGAGACAAAATCCATCTGACAGTTCCAACCAGGGGTTCACTCGACCACGGAATCTTTTATTTTCCCCAAATATAGTCAACATAAAAAATTACGAGTTGAATTATCAAAAATTATCCGCTGAATACCGTGTTGACTATAGAGATGCAAATGCGTCACATGACGAGGCGTTAATGACGGCTGTCACAATTCCCCCTCCCCCTTCTGTGACCGTCACAACTTGTCAAGAAAAAATGACATTCATTTTTCATTTATATAGATGAAACTTCATTTTTTTCTCGGTCAATTTTCAGTTGAATTTCTTTTGTATTGACCTAATCCGCATTTTGAAATGGAAATCACGTTTTTTTCCATCAAATAGTTTCATATAGATGAAACTATTTTGTTTTATTCATGACCGTCACCAATTGGAAATTAGTTATGACCGTCATTATGCAACTATATAGATGTTTTGACAACAATTTGGTTACAAATGATTTGTGACAATAATTTGTAGTTGGAAAATTTGTGCGTCACATGACCGTCACAAGACCGTCATTTTTTGGTCATATGACGCGATCTAAAAAATGACGGTCCCTTTGCATCTCTAGTTGACTATATGAAATAACAGTCGAATAGTGAAATTCTATTGGCTGACATTTGGATGAGGAAAATTCCCATTGAAATATTTCTCAGTGTAAACCATGCTGTTCAGAATGAAGACCACTCTCTTCCCCACCCAATCGTAACCACCCCGCCCCACGTGCACCCCCGAAAAAAAAAAAATACAATAAAAAAGGCTGGGGAGCTGGCTTCGGTAAATATACCTCGGCGAGGTCGACCCGCGAGGTAAGTACCTCAGAAGACAGCTGTTTCAATTTCTGGGTGAGATTCCTGGAGGCCTCAGCAAGTGCCCTGGTATCCAGTGTAGCAGCGACCCTCTCGCTCCCACCGATTGCCCCACCACTCCCCTGTGCACTGGCCTCACCCCCCGCACCCTGATTATCCTCCCCCTGATGATAATGATGATGTCCCATCGTACAAATCTTCTTCTTTGGTGGAGTGCACGATCTCGCGTCCTGACTCTGTTGATTCGGCGACAGTGGAGGCGTCTCGTTAAGGCTTGCTGAGGTAGCTTGGCTATCACACGAGACCTGCTTGTTTCTCGGATGATAATGATAATGATGATGATGATGGTGATGATGGTGATGATGATGATGATGATTGTGACGGTAATGGGAGAAGGGTCGACGATGCCAGAATGCTCTGGTGGAATTTGGTGAGTCTGGTGTTGCACCTGTGTCGCACTGACTCCCGGATGACGATGGTGACGACATTGAACGATCACTTGTGCAGGGATTTGTCGTTGTTGTTGCTGTCGACAGGCTTGTGCTGCAGCTGGCTGCCTGCAGTGCTGATGCCAAACTGCTGATCAACGACGATGTGTTTCCACTGCTTCCACTCTGCTTTGTGATCCTCATGCTGCGCCCCAAGGGTTCGCCACCTCGTCTGTGGCTCGAGTCATTTGTGCTTGATACTGGTGATGTTGAGGCTGATGATGAGGACGAGCCACACGTCTCACTGCCGTCACTGCTGGCTGTTTGGGATGATCGTTGGACACCGGATTGTCCTGGTGCACCAACTGGCGTTGTCGGTGTCACTGTTGACAGTTGCAGCTGGATTAACATCATCTGATCACCGAGACGCATTGTCAGGTTTAAGGGGGCTATGCCAGACAGGAAGTCGTTCACCTGGGAATCATTCAACGACTCGAGTGCTTGCATTACACTCTGTTCTGGGCGTTGGCCCTGGAAAATAAATAATATTGTCGTGTTAAATGGCAGGGGAGGATGCTGGTATTCGTTGTATTGAGGAACAATGAAATGGGTTATTGTGGAGGTTGAATGAGGGGGGAGACCTTGTCAGTGCCGCTCAATGCTGGGGTATTTCAGATAGGTTTTTTTGAATAATTGGGAGATGCACGGGGGGGGGAGTGGTAACATACGGTGGGTTTTTGTAATTGTTGGGTTGAATGGAGCATTCTCAGTTCCTTTTCAAGGAAATGCGAGACGTTTTTCGTATTTTTCGCTTCGGAGGAGATGCCTCTGCGTTATTTTTTCAATTGTAAATTGAAAAATTTGTCGATTTTCTGGTTTACTTCAGGTATTTTGAGGGAAATTGGAGGGTTTTATCCACGAAATGAGAATAATTGAGTCGTGGTAGAGTAAATTGACTTTTTTGAATTATTTATTCATCGCTGGAAATATTGAACATTTTCGTAATTTTTTTTTCTTTGAAAGGTTGCTTTTTTTGTTTCAATGCTTAACGGAATGTTTTCATTTTTCCTAACATTCTCCGATTTTTATTATTTTTCTCGGCAAAAGAGTGTACATTCCATTTTTTGTCATTCTTGAAATTTCAAATTTAAACAGTTTATTGATGTTTTCTCTTAAAAGCACTGACTATCGAGAGAAATTCTAAATCCATATCGACAAAATGGCAATAATTGACTTTTTCTAAAACATCAATTTAATTTTTTTAGTTCATTATCTATTTCGAAAATGTTAAAATACTTTCATATTTTACAAATTTGTCGACAGCGAAAGGCTTCACTTTTTTTCTCTGGAACCACTCATTATGAAACCAATTTAATATTTAACAATACGTTTCCAATTCTCCTCAACATTTTCCCAGCCATTTTTCTAATTTTTTAAATTTTAAATTGAGAAAATTTATTCAAATTTTCCCCTGCAATCATTCACGATGAAAATAATTCAATATTCAACAAAACTGGTTCACTTCTCTCCAAAATTCTCCCATTTTTATGATTTTTCTTGCCAAACGAAGAATATTTAACTTTTTGTTATTTTTGGAATTGCGAATTGAAAATTTTATTGACATTATCCCTTAAAACCACTAATTATCAAAAAAAATCAGAATCCATATTAACAAAATGTGAATAATTGACTTGTTCTACAATATCAATTTGATTTTTTCAATTAATTATCTATTCATCCCGGGAAATGTCAAGAAACATTTCCGTGTTTTCTCAATTTTTCGACTGGGAAAGGTTTCCGCTGAAACCACTTATTACGGAGATAATTAAATATTCAACAAGACTTTTTTACTTCTCCCCAACATTCTCCCATTTTTCTGATTTTTTTCGGCAGAAGAGCAATATTCAACTGTTTATTATTTTGGAATTCCTAATTAAGAAACTTGATCGATATTTTCCCTTGAAATCATTAATTATCGCGATAATTCAATATTTATATCACCGAACTGTAGCTAATTAACTTTTTCAAAAACACCAATTCGATTTTCTGTTAATTACTTATTCATCTCTGAAAATGTAAAAAAAATTGTATTTCACAATTTTTTCGACCTTGAGAGGCTTCTCCTCCTTCCCTGAAGCGCCTGATGATGCATATCATTTAACATTCAACAAAAAATGTTCATTCTTCCCCCAACAATTTTCAATAATTAATCCCCTCCTCAATAGGGATGATTCCCACAAATCGACGTTGAAAAAAAAAAGAGATCGAATCCCAAGAAGACCCTGAGTCGGAGGAAACCTCGCGGTTCAACGAAGCTCCACTGTTACTCTCCGACCGGGGCATTTCTGGGTGATCACTTGGCCATCCCTATGTAACTTCACCGAACACCTAACGGACTTCCTTTATACTTTAAAGCTTCGCCCTAATTTGATTTAAAAACCTTCATATTCGTTCATTACAATACTAAATCGAACCTAAAAGTCAAAAATCATTCCGAAAATTCTACCCTGTCCACATTTTATTTCGTTCCATTCGATTCCATTTAATTTTATATCTTAAGGATATCCAAGTATCTTTTATAGTTTGCTAATTTCGTTTTGTTTGATATAAAAATTTGCGCCATTCATGTGTAGTAGGCGGAAAAATTATCCTTAAAATATTTAAAATACATTTTCGAGTCTTTCCGAAACATTTTTCGGGTTATTTTACGTGAATGGTGCAGTTTTTCATTGAAAAAATAACGAAATTAGCTGTGTAGGACCGGAATTTCAAAAAACTACCTCCTAATAGTTATTGCACACATTTTTCAAAAATTTTGAAAGAAAAAAAACCTCTGTAGCTCAACAATTGGCGGCCCTGGACTAATTTTAACATTTTACGCGTCTGCGAGGCAAACGAACAATAAACAATTTTTTTTGCACTAATTATTCATTTTTAGACATATGTAATCGATCTTCAATGCATGAGTAATCTCATTCCAATAGTCCGCGACTTTGAAAACCCACAGTAGTCTCCCCTTAAAAGTGCAAAAAATACAACTCCAAATTTTTCTGAATTTTCCTGCCATTATCACCACAATTTCCTTCCATTATCGCCACAATATCCTTTTTCATATGAGGTATTCTACGCTATTTCAACGGGGGCAAAAAAAACATTTTTTTTTTGGAAATTGCATGTATCAGAAGGACCAGAGATTGGGCGCTATTAACAGCCCAATTTTTTTGTCAACAATGAACAGAGAACAATGAATAGAGATGCTTTTGAATATTTATATCTCCAAAGTTATACATTTAATCCCAAAATTTCAGAAGGGCTTTGTTGTTGAGAAATAATTCAGTAGCGAAGTGGTCAAACGGTTCAAGTCGATTTTGGCTACTCATGAGTTTTCAATGAATATCCCGCAATCTAAGGGAGATAGCGAAATTTCTGTTAAAACCTTTTCGGTGGAGCTCATTAAGAGCTTCAAAAAAGATATCTACGAAAATTTCGCTATCTCCCTTAGATTTTAATATATTCCTCGAAAACTCAGCTAATACCTAAGTCGACTTAAACCGTTTGACCATTTCGCTACTGAATTGTTAATTATGTGAAAAAAAATGATCGAAAAATGTAAATAATTTTGGTATTTTTAAAATAAACAATTAGATAAAATTTATCCAGCCCAGATGATAAAGTAATGTCATTTAATGGCGCTACGATCGTGAATCCAAAATGCAACCTGCTGTCCCTAGCTGTTTCATGTCCAAGTCATGCGTCCCACGTGTCACATCCCGGGGGCACCAATTAAATACTCAAATGGAGGAGGGGAAATGGGGGAGGGGGGGGGGGAAGAGAGGAGGAACGACACTGCGGAGCCAGTGAGCTATGGACCCGACGGCTTTTTCAACCCCACCCACGTTATCTAGATCCAGCGGGTGGAGGCGTCGGTGCTATAGAACGCTGAATTGAGCATTGAGAAATGAAACCCCCTCGTCTCGTTGGACCCCTGGTGGGGAAAACCGACCCTCGGGTTGGATTTGCCATGTCCCTGGGCGACTGCACCAGACAATACTGCGACAGTTTAACATTCAGAAATGCTTGGAACTCTTTCCCGGGATGCGTGCATGGAGATTGTCATTTTTGATGGGTGATTAGTTTTAGTTCTGAGACACTGCCATTAAAATGTCATCGTTCGAAGGAGGTAATTAGGACGGTAATGTAAATGGTAATTAGGGGTGGAATGGCGAGACAACTTTTCTTGTTTAGGAGTTGATGAGGTGGAGTGTTGTTAATAATTTCATTAGAGGAACAGGAAAATTCCATAGGAATTGAAAATGAAGAGAAGGGATTTTTAATGGCACTGTATTGTTGGAAGGAAAGGGAATTTCGTGGGCTGTTCAGTAGTCATTTTCACGAGAACAACTTTGAATTTAGTTCAGAGGGGAAAATGGTGAAATTCAATGGAATTCCAAGTCTTCGAGCAGCAGGAAAACGAGAATTCTCCAACTCACTTGAGTTTTTAATAAAGAGGTGAATATTGAGAGCCAAATTACGCTGAAATTTCAATACATTGGAGATTAAATAATTTATCCACCTGAATTTTCCGGATTTTTAAAATTTTTTAGGGAATGCTTAAACTGAATTTTATAAGAAATTTTATGTTTGAATTTTTTTAAATTGTTGAATTAAAAAAAACATTAAACGAATATACTTTATTATTAAAATTAAATTTATTTACCGTTAAATTATTCGTATGCTTTTTAGGAATTTAATATTTCAGCGCTAGGGAAGACTACGATCTTCATTCGCTTTAGCGTTCCTCTCCAACTCACTTGGGTTTTCAATAAAAACATGAATATTCAGTACCAAATTGAGAGCAACTTCACAAAGAATGAGAGTAAGAGAAAGAGAGAATAAATTCAACTAAATTGTTGGTGTTTTCATAAATTCTTTCATCAATTTGTAACTTTATCGTGAATTTGTCTATTTTCGCTGAACATCTCGAAGGCATTCAACTTATTTTATTCAGAATCAACATATCAAGACTCCAAGCAACTCCTGATGGTGATATTCTAAAGATCCTTCCTGATCAATGCCAGAGTCAAAGAATTTGAGAGCAACTCCAAGAATAATGAAACTACAAGAGAGAGAATGGATTCGGTTCGATTGTTGTCGGATGATATTGAAGGAACGAGTCACGAGGGTGACGATAAGGACCTCTGCGACGTTGCCAGAACAACCATAATGGGGTTATTTTCCCACGCGGTGGTGCTACGTGACCGCTGTTGACCGCTTGGATTTTGGGCCCGAAAAGACCCTTCACGTCGTGACAAAAGAATAATTTCTCATTCATCTGCATAATAATAATCGAGAATCTCATGTTCTAAATGCCGCGAATCAATCGATTATTTCGTCTCGCGCGGAAATACTCAACAATTTCATTCGGGGGACAATTAAGACGTGAATTTTGAACGCCTCAAAATGGTTAATTTAATCGAACGAATTAAGAAAAATGTATCGTGACCGAGAAACCAAGTGACCTGACCGATACGTCCGTATGCCATAGCTAACGGTGTTTATCCAGAGCGTTGCGATATACCCGCAATGCGTCGATCTTCTGCTCCAGTCTAGTATTGTTTCAGAGCACATGTCTATCTCTTGGTTTATCACGTTTAGCCTTGACTGATAGATAATGATTGCTCATTTCAAACACTCGATGGCCTATTTATACAAACGATGTGATAATTCAGCGCTGGAGTCGTGAAATGAGAGAGAAGTCTATTGCAATTGCAGTCTAGTTTTTTTATGAAGATGGAAAAATTTTTTTATAGACTTTTTTTCAATTTTCATTTTGTTGCAATGAAGAGGTTTTTATCAACATTCTGCTGTATCCCGTGAATTCCGAGATCATCAATAATCAAATTTGAATACTAAATGGGAATAACAAGTGGGAAATTGCTGTTATTTTGCATATAATATAGTTATTTTTGCTAAGAAACAGCGCGACAGAAGCCATTTGACGGATTACATATGACTGCTACTCTCCACGTTTTTTTTTCCTGTTTTCATTTCTACAAATTTCATCGGTAGTCGGCTTCCCAATGGATCCCAATGTGTTTTCAAAAAATGAATCCTTATGGATTACCATTTCTTCTCATTTTCCCCTATTTCTATAAAATAAATTTGATTATTTTTCCCAGTCGGATTTCGACCAATCAGAGCGCAGTATTTGAGGCTACTCGACAGTTTTATTTTGGATATTTCCTCTCAGCTTTTGAATATTTCGAAGTAGTTCTTGATTTTTTTTACCTGAATATTTCGCAGTGGCCCTTGATTTTTTCGGCTCACTTCAGATAGAATCTGATACTTGACAGTCTATGGAAATCGGGTTATTCTATTAACATAATTTGTTCAAATCTTCCCCAATTCACCTCCTGATGTTGTCCACTGCACTCTGCTTGGCCAAAATCCGATTGGAAAAAATAATCCGACAAATACCCCTCGAGATTCAAAATTAATCGGCTATTTCTCTCAAGCTCCCCTGCAAACAAACCATCGTGCCAAGTTTTGCAGAAAAATCCCTCGCGCAAGCGCTCGGGATTTTTTAACCTGTAAAACTTGACACCCTCATTTATTTGCAACGAAGCTATCGAGAAATACCCGATAATTTTGAAGCTCTTGGGGTATTAGTACTGAAAAAACCATAAATTCATGTTATATGGCTTTCTTAGTTATCCTGATGTGAAAATAAACGGTGAAATATAGATGGGTAAAACCCATGTGCGCAAAAGTGAATTCCGGCCAAAAAAATACAACAACGACGATATCTCGAAAAATTTCAATGGGATGGTACCCATATTTTGTTGGATCTGGATAGATGGCATCAAAACGCACATTTTGAAAGAAAAAAAATGAAATCGGACTAATAGTTTTTGAGATATTGAGCAAAAGAGTTTCACATACAAAGTTGAATATCTCCGAAACTACTGGTCCGATTTCGTTCATCCAGAATCCCAAATTTTGCTACCATACCACCTAAAATCATACCAAGTTTCAAGTTTCTATCTCGATTATTTTTTATGTTATCGTGCGAACAAGCAATTTCAGCGAAAAAATGAAAAAAAAAAACAGAACAAAACAACATTGCTCATAATTTGGTGCAAAAATCAATAGAAGTCCCCCTTTGAATCGGAATCGGTAGAAGATACAGAAATTTTCGTCAAGATCTTCTACGGGCCTCTCTTATCACTCTACAAAAAAGGTCTTTACAAAAATTTCGCCATTTCCCTCAGATTTCAAGATATTCACCAAAATCTCACAGCTTCATTTTAGCACTCCAATACCCCAATAGCAGGAGAAAGGGCTGCGTCATTGAGCAAATCATTGATCCTGACCGCAATTTCTCAATACCATATTCCCTTGACCTATCCATTATTCGATTTTTATTCCTCTAGGATTGCAGAACACCGCACGGAGAGAAGTATTCAGTAAAAAATTACAGAACTCACAGTTCGCTCCCGATTACAGAAACGACTCAGAAAATTTAAGTGACGCTATCGTAATTTTTCACAGAAGATTCACGTAAAAATTAACGGAACGCTCTGAAAAAATTCCCTGATAGTTCGGTAAAATTTCCTGCAATCACATTGCGCTCCGGAATTACGGAATTACGAAAGGTTTGGGTTAGGCTTGTTTTCAGGGAGAGTGCCATTAATATCTCTTGGTGCGATTGATATTAACCCTAGATTGGTCACCATGCGAGGGAATTGCCGCAACGTGTGATTTTTTTCGTCGTCACCGGTTGGTTGACCGGAAAAATCCGAAAAAATTTGAATTCGTCAATTAAAGTATCTGGAAAATTAGACAGTGAAATTAGACAGCCGAAACCAAAAACTACAATCCCTTGCTTCGCATAAAACAAAGATTTTTCGGGAGCAAAATACGTATGGGAGTATCGAATAACGAAGGAGTAGTGCTAGAAATGACATTTCTTGCGTGTACAGAGAATGCAATTTTTTTTGAACTACTAAATCTACTTTTGCGACAAAAATTTTTCATTCCGGCGCACTCTCTGCATGTTTGGCACGAAAAAATCCTGTTTTTGATAATTAAAAAAAAACTATTTTCCTGGCACAAGTAAGACTTGTTTGAGAACTTTGTCGTTTTTCTCTCAGTGTAGTCCCGTCCTCTAACTGAACACCAGTAGCTATCTCTCAAAGAATCAGATGATAATTTTAAACTCCTGTGTGTCCCTGAGTTTGTAAATAGGTAATAAATCCGATATTCCAAGAACAACCTTCCATCATTCGCAATAATGAAATCCTCCTATTTTCCGAGGAATTTATCGCCCGAGGAATGTGAAGAGTAAGGCGAACGATATACGTGTGATACTTTATTTTCAGTTGCAGTAAGAGTAAACAGGATTATCACGATACTCTAATGACTTTAATGCTCTCGTTCGTTTGAATGCTCTTGGACCATTATCTTGAAAAAAACTCGTATCATGATGTTACTCACTGAGTGTCGTCACATTCCAGAGAAGAATGGCTCCAAGCCGAGTACTCGACAGAAGTGAATGACGATTTCAGGCATTAAAAATGCGATGATGCCTCTATTTTTGAACGGAGCATTGTAATTCGAGGAGAGGGAATGCGTTTTAGGAGTGGAGTGGTGAAACGCTGCAATTCTTTCATGAAAATTGTCCAGAATTTCTGAATTATTGAATTACCTTCATGAAGAAAAAATACAGAAAGATGTGAAGAGAGAGGTTTTCAAGGGAATTTTAATAGTTAAGATAAGGAATTCATGTGTACAAAGTCAGAGTGAAGGTTCATTTTATGGAAAGAATTATTTGAAATGTATAAAAAATAGTGAATTTGGTGTAAGGGAATATCGGATTTATCTATGAAAACAGGTTTTACTTCCAAAAGTAGTTTTTCAAATACTACTTTTCTTTTGTGCAGAATTTGTGAATTTTTTAATTATCTCGATGCAGGAATGCAGGAGGATGTCAAGAAAGAGGTTTTCAAGGGAATTTTAATAGTTAGGATAAGGAATTCCAGCGCAAATAGTCAGAGTGAAGGTTCATTTCGTGGAGAGAATTATTTGAAATGTATAAAAGATAATGAATTTGTTGTAAGGAATATCGTATTTATCTATGAAAACAGGTTTTACTTCCAAAAATAGTTTTTCAAATTCTACTCTATTCTATTGTATTTTATTCTATTCTACTTTTATTTTGTGCAGAATTTGTGAATTTTTGAATTATCTTGATGGAGAAATTTCATTCTTAATCAGATCAGTTGAGTTGTGTTCCATTCAGTGAAGATGAATTGATACAACGTTCAAATATGTATCTGATTTAATATTTTTCAGGCAAAATTCACAATTTTTTTTTCTTGGGGAGATGGGAACTTTTCTTGAGAAAAATTTTCCGGAAAGTTTTTGACCCTTAATCAGATCCTCGTGACCCTTATGACCCTTAATTGTGGAGTCTTAATTTCGAGTACCAAATTTTCATCACCAGAAGTCGATTTGGATTTTTATAACACAGAGAGATAATCAATATTAAATTCCGAATTATCTTGCTAAAATCATATCCGTCTGAGATAAATAGACAATCATCAAAAGTCTTCAATAATCACATGTTTTTCTTTTCTTCTTTTTCCTCATTCTCCAGCTGTTGATTCAGGGTCTAACGTACATCATTCAAGAATCATTTCCAACAGGTCGTGTTACAAAATGAAACATTTCTCGAGATTAGTAACACGAATTTACGTTGCGAGTGTCGTTTTTCCCCATAAAGAAAATCCATAAAATACTCACCATGAGACCGGTCTCCACGCTGGGGAGTAGAGTCAATCGGCTGCCATCCTGCAGACGATTTTCCTTGAGTGTGCCTTCCCTCAGCTGTCTGGAAATATCCAACAAAGAGCGTTAGTTTTCTCCAACGTATTTCTCTTTTTAAAAAAACCTGACCTGAGGATGAATTGGGCGATAAAATCTAAGCCTCCACTCTCCTCTCTTCCCCGTTCGAAAAAAAAAACTTGAAGAATGGAATACGTACTGTAGGTGGGCTCAGAAGTAGAGCCTCATACGGTCAGGTTTTTAAATATTACCCTTAAAAAAAGGAAAGGGGAGACGAGAAGAGAATCTATATTCCAATGATCTAATTTTTGTTTTTTTAGAAAGAGTTTAACAATTTCATTCAAACTTAATTTCATTAAATTCTACTTTTGGGAATCAGTCAAAATATTCTCTATGTTTCTTATTCAAGTTATAATCGCATTCAAATCCTTAATTTTTTTATCTTCAGTTAAATTTATAGTCAAATTTTTCACGAAATTTTTCATTCGCTTCGAAAATTCAATTAAATTGAGTTGTTTATGTTCCATTTGAATCTATTTGAATTTTTTTAACGCAGTCCCGACTATTCAATCCACATTAGGGATATTCGCAATTATTCTCCGAATAATAATAATAATAATAGTAATAATCAAACATTTGAATATCAAATTATTTCATCAATCAATAATTGAGGTAGCGAGATTGCCGATTGTTCCGGTAATCGTAAATTATCTTAAGAAAATTGTAATTATTTACTTAATAATTACAATTATCAACTATTTTATTAATTTCCATTTTCCAACTAAAATCTCCAAAATTTAATAATTTCTGAATGACTTCTTTTAACACCACTAAAAAGAAAAATTACTGGCGATCCCTGGGGCAAGCCCACCACCTGAGTATTACAAAGTTGGAGGCATCCAACTTTAATATTGATCCGTGAGAAAGGCGTCAGAGGTGATATTCCTAAAACGTGGAAGTTTTTCTCCCTACTTTCTAGGTGTGTCCCCCCCGCAATTAAAAGATAATGTTCAAAATGCCTGAACATTTCCCCAAAAAATCATGCTTGACCTTTAAGGTCTTGCGTGCAAAAAGGGTAAATAATGACATTCATCTGGAATTCATTATTTTTTTGGGTGCCATGGAAATTTCCCTAATTGAGAGTGGGCTAACCTCGGAGGTTATACCTGGAAGGGTTAAACAAACATCAAAATTTCATTATTTTTTTTCTTAAGACTGAGATCTGGAAAAATGTGCAAGAATTCTCAATGATGCAGCACACTCAGAATTTTCTCCCGCGAATTTTCCAATTTTTTTCATTATTTTGACTTTTCCGCTGCAACACCTTGATCGTTACTCCTTCTACTTTTACTAAAGATGAAAAAAACGTGAAGATGTTTTATATCGAAATATCTCGAAACTTCCTGACCGCTAATCCTTAATTCTGATTGGTCAATATGTGACACGAAGTTATTCACAAAAAAAAAACACGGCATTTTCAAATTCTTCAGTGACGGAATTTCAAATTCTTCAGTGGTAAATTTTTTTTTCACGTCATATATATATAATATTTCACATGTATATATATCATCGGTGAAATGAATAAATTCTGTCTTTTTATGGAGACTGATTATTCTAAAAAATTGAAGGTAATTAATTGAAAATGAAAAATTCTTCATAGATTCTTTTACTCTACTTCGCTATTCACTTCAATCATTAGTCCAATTCTCTTTGATTCATTATCAACATTTATAAGGTATTCATGAGAAAACGAAATTCAATGAATTCCATTTCTTCATTTCAACAAATGAATATATCAGCGCGCGCATACATCTTGTAACTCGAAAAGAAAATCTGAAAAAATTCTAAGAAAATTCATAGATAATTCAATTGTGATTATAAACATTCTACATGAATTCCAGCTGAACGTCATTATTTACCCTTTTCACACGAAACACTTAACGACAAGCCGACAATATCCACAAACTCATCGTTCTCCCATCTCTCAAAAATTGAATTGAATTGAACGATAAAAATAAAACTTTCATCGACAACTTTTTCTTTCATTCTATCGAACTTTCATTCTCCGTTGTTTCCCCCATCCGTCCTGCATGGAGCTATCGAGCTTTAAAATTCATTCATTAAAAACCACTCGCCGCGACTGCTCCGCATTCTCCAATTTTCAATCCTCATTTCCCCGATTAGTCATTTCCAAATTTGCCCGACAACTCAGATAGGGGAGGGTAGGGTAAAATGGACACTTTTGAAATTTTTAAAAATATTCATAACTCAGAAACAGATTTATTAATTGAGCTCAGTCTAAACTCATCACAAAGAGGAATCATTCTTTTTCAATTGAAAAATAAAATTATTCCATTTCATGAACACTTCAACACGTCATGAATATTTCAAAAAAAGTCAAAAGTGCCCGTTTTACCCTACCCTCCCCTACATCATAATTACCCCTCCGCAATTAATCGGTTTCCCAAAAATAAATAAAGAATGGGGTAAAAAGAGTGGCCCTGGACTGGGCGCAGTCGCCGAGCAGTTGTAACGAAGGGTGTGCGCAAAATATTCACGTCCCCAGATTCTACACGGTGAGGCGTTTACCCACGAGACGCCGCGCGAACACCGCCCGCCACCCGAGTATAGCTCCCCAGGCTGGTATACAACGGCTAACGCGTGTATGTATGTATCAGTGGTTCAGTTCAACACTTGCCCTGGTAGAATTGGACGCCAGGACCCCGTACACTGGCTCCCAACCGACCCTAGACGTCCTTGATGCCTGCGACCCTCACAATTACTACGGGACGCGAGAATACCCCGGGTAAAATCCCGCATTATGGAGGGATATGTTGGAGGCGAGGTGAATCGACATTTCAGCTGGAATTCATGCTAAGGGGGTTACAGAGGGCTGCTGATTTATCATACGAGACTGAATGCGCGCTACGGCGCGCTGTAATTCGGTAGTGAAGTTTTTTTTTTTTTTTTTTTTTTTTTTTTTTTTTTTTTTTTGGCACTTGTCTCTACAACAGTGAGAGGGTAAAGCCATTAGGATTAGAACATATTTCAACAAAGTTTTTCCTAATATTGGAATTTGTAAAATTAGTTGATTTAGTCCGTCACGGGAACTAAATTCATTAATTTAGTTTAATTAAACTAAATGAATTATCCCTCATTCACGTGATAATTGACTTTAGTGATGAAAATATGCATCCGATGTTTTTTTTGGTTTTCCTATAAAAAATCGTCACGTGTCGTTTTTTTTTCAACTCGTAAAAACCCTACTAATCCTTCAATTTAAAATTCAAATAGAATTAAAATTTAGAGAGAAAAATATCCCTCATTCACGTGATAATTGACTTTAGTGATGAAAATATGCATCCGATGTTTTTTTTGGTTTTCCTATAAAAAATCGTCACGTATCGTTTTTTTCAACTTGTAAAAACCCTACTAATCCCTCAATTTTCAATCATTTTTAAAAAAATTGTTTTTTTCGTGTATTCCAAATTGCATACGACTCATTTATAACACGAAAAAATTATAAAAATCAATATAAGAGAATATTGATGACAGATGTTCCATTTGTAATAGAGTCAAAGTTAATGCAAACGCTCAATCTCATGTTAAACGTCTTATTTTTTCCAAAATCAAGAAAAAGGTTCGAATTTCGAGCAACAGCCATGAATGAAATACATAAATATCACTTCATACTGATTCAAATGATTCGAAATAGAGCATAGAAATTAATTTCCTCGATTTTGTATCAATTTTATATCACATAGATCACTAAAAAGTGCAACATTTCATGAATCTATTCAACTTCACTGCTTTCTCAGGACATCTACAAGAATATTCACGACAAATTTTCTAGTAGTAATATGAATAGTAACAACCTGTCAAAGTGAATGAAAATGTTTGATCTCATGTTCGTATCTCGTTTTTTCAAAAGTGGAAAGAAATACTCAAATTTAGATCACCAACAACGAATGAAATGCATCAATATCGCTTCACATTTCTCCAAACATTCCAAATGGAACAAGAACATATTCTCCTTCACACTGAAGTGGATCTTCTATTGCCGCAAATGCCCCAACATATTCATAATTTTTTATCTGACGCCGAATGGTTTCCATTCATGGCTTATTTACATTTTTTTTCAACATTTACATTACGTAGAATTGTGCGTATTCTCAATTCCTTCCTTTTCTACGTTTACTTATTCTTCCCCGGGTCATAAACTTCTCGGATACCTCGTGTTTTCTATCGTCGTGCCTTTCTACTCGAAGAGTTTCTAATTTTCTCAAAAACAAAAATAAGGATCACGGAAAATGAAGAATTTCCTTGGGTCCCGGGTAACACGGACATCGTCATGGTAATAACGGTAACATAACCGTAAATCCCAGGGTCCGGACAAACGACCAACTGTATATTCACCGGTCGTGCTAACCAGAATTTAACATTTGAGCCTTTTATGGGTTATTATTAATGACTGACAAATGGCTTTTTTTCCTACGAATGAAAGCGGAATGGAAGAGACAGAGGGACAATAATTGGATATCTCGGGAGAAATATGATAAAAACTTCACTTTCCCTCGTTCGTGTGTGCAATCGAAATTATTCAAATTTAAATAAAAGAATGTTTTCACTTTCCAACTATCGAATGACATTTTGTATTTTTTTCTAGTTGTGTCATCGGATCATCAACACCTCAGACAGACAAAACGTCTGGTTTTTTATGCGCAAATGGGAGATCACAGCGTGGAAGCCAAACTTATCGATAAATACCAATGAAATTTTTCAATTTTGGTATTGTTAATGTTATTGGTTCATTTTGATAGTTTCTGAGATTTTTCGAAAGCTAAAAAGACCAAGAGGACTTGCCTATTATCGTTTTTACGTGAGATTTGTCTTCGATTTGAAAATTAAATGAAGGAAAATGTTGAAAAAGTGAATGGGTAATTAATATTATTGAAATTACATTTTCCAAAAATTGAGTTTGTAAAGATTTTTTGTTTATAAATAAATGATGAACGGATTGAGACTTTGGGAGAGTATTTCGTCACC